TGCTGGCTGGGGAATTCTGGGAGTTGAAGTCCACTCATCTTAAAGTGGCCAAGTTTGGACAACACTGCTTTATGAAGTACAGTGCCTTTTATTTTTTTTGGCTCCTGTTCTTTTTGGGGTATCATTTATGATATTTTTTGCCCTCCCAGACCCTCAGCCTTGTTTTCCTATCTTGTTGCTTAATACAGAAGCTGGAACGGCGGAACTCAATTTCTTTGGGATCCTGTAGAAATTCAGAATGGCGTAATCGTCTTTTGATTATGCAGTTCGGAGTGTCTGTAGCCTCACAAACAGGCATGACGATGTTACTGATCACAAAGTAGATTCGTGACGCCACACACCTAACAACGCACGACATATAATTCGTGACATTTGCATGATTGCACAGATAATATGGACTGCTGTAAGTTGCATAATGATGTCCTTTGTGCAATAATGTCACAGTGCTTTTGATGCCAGATGTGGGTCTGAAGGGCAGTTCAGCATGAGGGAAAATACGCATAAGAATAAAATGGAACAGGAATTGTGCTCGAGAGAGAGCGCAAAGGAAAGAACACGCAGCAGAGCTTGAAAGCAAATGAGATTTTTTTCCTCAGCCAGGATGTCACATTCAGATCTGCTGTGATGGTTTATTGTGATATTCTTAGTTCAAGGCACTCTGCCAGTTTTTTTTTCTGATGAGTCAAGCCAGCCAAGGGTGGTCCAAGTGGCGAGGATCAATGGAACAATTGATTCAGCTGCGAGCCTTCCCAGCCGTGCACCCTTGAAACCATCATAAAAAAGATTGTGCCGGATAAGTGATTGCAGAATAAAAGTTAAACTAGTCCACCCCAGGGAGAAAACGAGTAACAGTCAGATAGAAAGGATTTATACTGAATGGAATTGACATAAAATTGTCAGGGGCCAGAAAATACAAAATTTGTATTTGTATGTCTGGCTTTGCAACATGGGTCTGGGTCACCAGTGACAAGCCAGAATGAAGTCCCTTGGTGTGGTTGGTTTCCACTTGTTCAACTCAGTCATGTTTGATGACTTCATTTCTCTGTGTAAATTACGCCCCAGAGAATCATTAAGTCTCAGAAGTAACCTTATTAACATATCACTTGCCAAGAAATAAGTAGCCTGATCCCTTATATTGTCAGACAAGCGATCATTTTCAAAGCAATTAATGAAAGTTTCATTGGAGCATCCGAGAGCAAATAAGTCACCATTTATTTAATTTGCCTTAAGAATAGATTCTGGTTATCTTGTCCTCTGTAGCCCCACCGTAGCTATCTCCTGACATGCCCTTTCCAAACTTGTCTGAATCCCCTTTAAAAAGGAAAAAAAGTTTGCATGAAGATTGATGCAGTCTTTGCGTGAAAAGTCCCTAAGATTTAGATATTTTTGAGTTTTACGGGCAAATCTGAACACTTGAAAAAAATTGCCTGGGTTCTACAACATATGTCACTAAGCACAAAATGTTCATGCATCCACTTTTTCTGCATGTTTTGTAAGCTCCATATGTGTTTCTGTGGGGTAAAGGATGGACCTGTATCTGCAGGTGCTGAGTTGCTGATCTCAGGTACTGAAAAAGATCTTGAATAGTTTGGATAACCAAGTACATTTCCATTAAAAAGGCATGATATCCTTCCTGTATCACTTTCCCAATATGTTAAATAGTTCATTGATTCATGTTTAAAAAAAAACCTGACTAAGATTGAAATAAAGTTGAGATGAGTTTTGGAGAAGAATGAGTTTTGATCTAAAACATTTGGATTCCCATGACATTTTAACCAAGTTAGTTAAAGACTTAGAATCTGCATTTTCTCAACATTCACAAGACATGTTTATTAGGCTTTTTTTGTGTGTGTGTGTGGCCCAGTATGTTGTTCCAGCCCAATTTATGAGTTAGCAGATGGTTTACAGTTCACTGTATTATCCCATCCCAGAATTCAGTAACCAAGTAAAGTATGTTCTGGTAACCTGACATGGAGTCAGCTAAGTGGACCTCTCTCTAACTTATTGCACAACTGGATTCTTGTGCAAGTACTGTTGGACATTAAACCGTAGGCTTACAATCCATCAGTGGATCACTCCCATTAGTGAGAACACCTTTATTTAGAGTATTACCACTCAGCAGATCAGTGGCCAGGCTGGAAGTTTTTTCTTGCATAGAATCCCTCAAAAGAAAACAGTAAAATACCAGCTAGGATATTGGGGGTAATATTTGTTAGCAAATAATGCAGAAATCTTCTTGATTAGGCATCCAGAGGAGAGAGCAATGAACTAAATCCTCAACTATATTTAGGCTATATATAAAAAATTCCTTGCTCCATTGGCACTTTTCTGTTGTATCCATCCAGAAGGGCATCTAATCTAAAGGGTTCCTTAATATGGCAGAAAATGGTTCTATTAAACTTTGTGGTGATCTGCTCAGAATAAATGAAGCTGTATGAGCTTCTGGAGAATATTTCGTTGGGCATCTTTGAATCTCTCTAATTGTCCTCCTGAAGGACAATTTGGAGCTAGTTGATGATCCACAAGAATCAGGGGCAAGAAACTTTGGTAGCTTGGTTTCCCATCTCTGTCTTTCTCTACACTATAAAAACCACATTTTAGGAAAGTGATCCTTTGGTCCCATATTAATATAGTTTATGTACAGTATAGACCTTTTTAGGGTGGGTCTTCACATGCTGTTGTGGCTTTCATCTTGACTTCTTTGAGCCCCCTGCAGATGACCTTGGTTGCCCTCGTTGAGGCCGGTCAACCTCCACCTACAAAATAGAATGTGAAGAATCGTTAGAAATAGAATATATTTCAGTATTTCTGGTCCATTGATAATAGGATTATCTGCTCCCCAGGGTTCAACACCAATTGATATCTGGACCTTTGTTTACTGTAAACCGCTTCCAAACTGCAGTCTGTTAGTCCTTTTATATATTAAGCATTATTCAGGCTGCTTATGTTCTCCTGGCCTCAAATTTTAACACCAGAATCTTTTTTCTCTTTAATGAGTGTTTTAATAGAAAACCCGCATAGCTAAATCACCTGCATTGTTCAACCTCAGTTTGATTGGAAGTCCATTTTAGACCTTAGACTCTACTTTGCAACAGCACTTGAAGTGTATAAATGAAGTACAGCCAGAGAGGTGTTTTAGGGCTACTTAAAATATATATTTTTTAAAGGTGATCGAACAATTGTCCATTGGAAAAGATTTTTTAAAAGAGGATCAAAAGGTGGTTCATTGTAAAACTGCCCTGAATCTTTCCTGAGCTGTGGGATGTTTAGAGAGGAAGAAGTCATAAAACTGTTACCTTTTGAAAATATGAAAGGGTAAATAGCAGAAAGGCAATAGCATGCAATGTATATAAGAAAAATGCACCTGGCCCACTAATAATATGGAAAGTCCATTCTGCTTTTTCTTGTAGCTTGCGGGAGAAAAACAATGAATTGCTAGTGCTAGATAAGAGCCAAAGTTGCTGAAAATAAGAGAAAGTTGGAACTGAGAGGGCAAATTCTCCCGGTTATTATCAGTAATGAAGTGTGCTTCATCCAACCCCAGCATTAATATCCAGCCAGTGGGGAGATGTAGTCCCAGACGCATCTGTTTAGGCTCCATTCAAGTGTTTATCCGAGGACAGATGGTATTAAAAGAACAGGCTTCTTCTTCTGACGCACAGTGCAGTAACAGATTTGGGAAGAGCTGGCCTGTGGACCTATTGCTTTCCAGCGAAGAGCATTTCTGAATATCCACCTTTTCAAACAAGCCACATGCTGGAATTAAGCTAGGTTTTCAAAGCTGGAGTGTCTGCGTAGAAACTTTAACAATGTCCTTGACTTTCTGGTCTCTGATCTTGGAAATGAGGAGAAGTGCCTTTTTAAAGAGAGAAAGAAAAAAAAAGCGTCCATGAAAGAAGAGGTTGAAAGGATTTGCTTCTGGAAAAGGAAAGATTGTGTGTGAATAGCACGTGGGGGGAAAGGCTTGCAGAGAAATGTGGATGAGTCATACTTGGAGCGTGCATTACAGATTTGAATTTGGGGATCTTACGCGGTGATGGAATGCTCAAAGGGACACCCAGCACACAGAGAGCCTCTGTTAATCCACAAAAGCTTTATTATTTAGGATTGCTTAAGCATCACACATGCACAGATTCATACTCTGGTCTGCCACAAAACTGATCAGGTAATGCACGGGGGTTGGGAAGACCGGAGCACTCCATAAATGATGGTTGAATGGGGGGTCTTCTGACAAGGACCTGTTCAGCGTGCCTCGTAGCCAACGTCAAGCACATCCCATCAGCCTTCCATCGCCCATCATCTCAGCTGCCCCTTCACTGATCTCTTAGGCTGTTGGATCAGATGTGAGTTGCCGCATGGCGCTTAACTTTCTGATCTCTGGCTGCTGTCCTCCAGGCCTTGTCTGGCTTCGGAGGTGACTTGCGCCCTCCATTATGTGTGCTGCACCTGTTCTCTCCCAGAGCCATCTTTTGGTCATTCTGCTTCATCTACTTCCCCCAGCATCTTAATTGTTGTAATGCATTCCTCCCCTCCGTATAATTTTGGTTTTATGATGAAAGGTGTATCCCGTTCACAGATTTGTTCATGGTTAGTATTGGTTTGCATCCACTTGTTATCCTTAAGCTCGTACCACGAATACCAGTTACAAGTGAGTACATGATCATAAATGCAACAGAGATGTAGAAATCTTCCAGTCATCCAATCAATGAAACCACCTCCTTGACCTTTGGTTTCATATCATTTCTTAATCTAAAACTTGTCTGTTTTGTATGGTGGTTTCTTGAGCTGTGGCCCCATTTTGGTTTAGAGCCTGTGTCATTTGAAACGTCTTCTAAAACACAACTCAGTTTCCTTGTCTCCTTAGTCATTTGTGTTATTCCATAATTTGAAAACATGTTAGAGATTTTTTTTCCGTCTCAGTTATTGTTCTTTTATTTTGCTCGTGAGGTATTTGGAATGTGTGTCTCATAGATGCATATATTGGTGCTATCAAGAGGACAAATCCTGTCTGCCCAAAACCATCTCCTAAGCCAGTGTTCCCCAACCTCAGCTGGTTGTGGGAGTTCCGTTCCCAGAATTCCCTAGCCAGCATGCTGAGGAATTCTGGGAGTTGAAGTCCACACATCTTAAAGTTGCCCAGGTTGAGAAACGCTGCTCTAGGCATATTTATCTGCTTGGTTTTACAAATGAAATAATATCCAGTAGACCCCCTCTCCCCTGACAGTGAAAATACTGAAATATCTATATGACGAAAAATAGGTCGTAAATCACTGTGCCATTGTGGCACCACTTGAATTTGGTAAAAAATATTGTCCTTGTACATTTTCTATGTAGTTTGTCGTATCTTCTCCCCGGTTTCCCCGTGCCCGTGAGAAACCCAAAAGGAATTTCGCGTGGGCTACAAGCACATTCCCCAGAGGATGAGCTTCAGAAAGCTGCCCTCACCCATTAAAAAGGAAAAAAACTAACTGTTGTCACAGGCTCATACGTTTTAATATAACGGATTGAGGGCTCATGTTTGAGGACAAATAATTTCATACAGTGAATAGTCTCTGAGCACGTGAAAAGAGGTCTTGAAAAACTTGTTTCTTTTCTTTTCTTGTGAAGCTTCTTGAAGAATATGGAAGTGAACATCGAGTTTTCCGAAATAAAATATCGTAGCTGACAGTTTCACAGAAATGCTTTGGGATTTGTGAACGAGAAGAAGGCATTCCAAAAAAAAAAAAAAATGATTCCAACACAAGAATCAACAATTACAGACACACAATGCTATATATAACATTACAGTGACATCAACAGATAATGCATGCCTTTAATATTAAACTTCCGTAACTCTGGTTGCAAAGGAATTTATCTTGATGCACATCATTCTCTTTAATTCAGGTACATGCCAAACCATACTAAGATGCACCCAACAATGTTTTCCTTTGTGTCAATCAAAAAGGGGATGGGAGAAACACAAGAGGTGTTTGCATAGGGACCAGTCCAATCAGCCTCCAGAGTCTGTGACTTTTGCTCCTAATTTTGCAAATGAAACTTGGGTGTGCGTAATTTTTCTTTGGTTAACATTATTTTACAGCTTACTTTGTAGGTTGACAGCAACTCTCTGTGTGCTGTGTTCCCTTGAGCATTTCAGTATGGCCTAACATCCCAAAGTTTAAAGGTGTAATGTTTAATTGGTGGAGAATGTAGGCGCTAATTGGAATAGTAGCCATGCTGAACTGGAGATTGGAAACTGAGGACCCCCAACAGGAGGACCCCCACAATGGTGAGAGGTTGGATCAGTCCTGACATGGGGGTGTTGGGTGACCTGACTTTGAACCACCACATACATCTACGTGACTGAAGAGCTGAAAGAGATTCTGGAGTTGTACAGATGCAAATCTGTAGAAAAATGATGCCTGCAAGGTTGCAGTTGGCTGTACGGGCAGCATCTTCCTCTGTCCCAGTTGGGTGGAGAGGGAGGAGGGGGCACCTTTTAGGAAAGTTTTGGAGTTAAGGAGGGTGGGGACTTGGGAGAGGACAAGGACAAAGGGAATGCTCATGAGGAGTCTAGTGGCCAAGAGAGGCTGCGTTAGATGTTTTGCAGTGGATAACCATAAGGTAAAGTCTTCCTCAAGCTCTGACTACATGATATGAACATGTTTCCTTGAGAGCAGGATGAAAGTGGTTTCTTTTGCCATCCTCTGAGGATTTTTTAACTTCCTTGTCTAGCCCACAGTCCTGCAGTTTTCTGCTGATCTCTCATCCAAGGACCAACCACACCTAATCATCTACCCTGTTTGTCTTTCTCAAGTTCAGCCAGAATCAGCCACCAGCTGTAGTAACTTTGTGGTTTATTCTGTTTTCTGGACTCGTGCGACACACCGAACCATAGATTGACCCTGGGATGCTGAAGTGTGAGCTGTTAGACTAAAATGGGATCTGTGTGTCACATGAACATTGTCCAATTGGGGAAGGATCCCTTCTAAAGTAAATGACTGAGTTGGGCAAATGTCTGCAGTTAGTGAGTTAGTAGATCAAAGCAACACAGTCTGGCTGGGTTTATATAAAATGCTAGGCTGAAATGTGGCTTCTTTTGAACCAGCCAGTGTGGTTTATAAACCATGGTTTATGGTTTAATGTTCTCTCTGAACCAACTATGATTTATTTAATAGATTATATTTAAGGAAACTTTGATTTAGTATGTTGTGTGAATAGTGTCACCGCTTCCAGTGTGTCATTTTCCATGCACCATCAGGTAGCAACCCTTGGCAGTCTTGTTTGGATATGGAAGCTAAGCAGGGTTGGGCCTGTTTTGTTCTTGGGTGGAGGCACCCCCAGAAATCCCAGGGCTGTAGGCTAGATTGGGAACTAAAAAGTGTTTCTGAAGAAAGCATTGGCAAACCACTTCCATGCTGTTGCTGAGATAACTGCATGGCTGTGTCCACGGACTCACGAGGAATCAAACTTGGCTCGGCAACATTGTCTTTACCTTCACTTGAACTGGGCATGACTAAGCGAGCCCTGGAAAGCTCTGATGGCTCAAGAGGTTCTGATGTGCTTTCTTGGATCTTGCTGTCTGCACCCCTCTGCTTTCTCCCCAAAGGCTCTTAGGAAGCTGGTACTAACATTGCACTCTGGGTCTTTTTCAGACTGACCCACTTTCTTTCCTTCTGTCTTCATAAACTTTGGCTTCCCAGAACCCTATCCAAAGTATGGCTTGTCTCCACTCTGGTTTATAATCCCATGAAGCTCTAGGCTTCTAACACATGTTTATCCTCTGCGTAAGATTGATTATAAGCTTGTCCTGAGCTGATTTACTTCCCTGTTTGGAAGATGTTTCCAGCGGAGAGGGAGAAGACTGTTGGATGAGCACGTTTGTGACAACCCGTAGAGTTTTCTCAGTATTTGGAAAGGATTCAGTATCCTTTGGTTCCTTTTTGGTCATCTAGTTTTGATCCAGTGGGGATGGGGGACGGCAACATCTCTTAGGAATTTTTTTTCTACCTTCCATAACTTAAACCTTTTGTTCCAGGACCTGCATTTTGGAATGATGGCAAATGGGTTTAGACTTTCTTCTGTGCGGCATCCTGTCAAATACTCCCACTCTTTCAAATAAAAACACTCCTCGCAAACAGCTCTTAAGGATTTGCTGACAAGACGATAACAGTTTATAGTTTTATCTCTTATTTTTCTCAGTGGGAAATGAAGCAGAAGAAAATGACAGGAATTTAAGAGAAAAATATTGAGGGAGGAAACGTGAATGCTTAGCGAGAGACCTGCAACTTAATATTTTGAAACATCATGGCAGACAGGAGAAACTCGGGCCTAAAGGAAGACAGTTCACACCTCTTCTGGTGGGAATGCTCCTGCAGGGAGATGGAAAATATTTGTAATATTTGCCTACTACAGCATGTTAAGAGTTTGGGAATCTGGTAAATCAGGGTTTCCTTCTCCAGCCTGCTGCCAATTGGGAGTGCTGGAACTACAGCTCCCAGAATTCCCAGGTACTATGTGAAAGGTAAGAGGGCATGTGGGCTGGGAATCCTGGGAGTTAAGTCCCTAGGGGATACTGAATTAGAGGCTAATAAAATGTACAATACTGATGCCATTGGTAGCATTTTTAATTTGATAAATCCTGTGGTACTTTAATAGGCATCTGAAAATGACGTTTAAAATTGGAGCTGAATAACTGGACAGTCAAATTTTAAGCTCAGTTTTTTGAAGGAGCAAATTTTGAATGTGTATTAATGATTATCTTATAGAAAAGAGTTTCTATAGACTAGGTCCATGTTCTTCCTGGATTACAATCCCCAACTTGAGGTTCATCTAGGTCTTTTCACATGCAAAGAAGATACTCTTCTCCTGATTGAATGTGGGTGTTGTGCCCTGAAATACTACATAACATGATCAGCTTGAATTACACATCTGGACCAAAAATGTGGAAAATGGGGGAGGAGAGATTGATGTCGGCTGCCATGGTACAGCTGTCTGGTCATGACCTCCAACAGCAATGTCTCTTCCTCCATTTTCCAGTGCTGTTGGAGTGGGAAAGGGGAGAAATAAGAGTTGGGGGTGGAATGGTGGTTGGTGGTCTCCTCTCATGTAAGGCCCTTGGTCACTGTGTCCTCTCTTGCCTTGTTTTTCCAGTCAGAGGATCTTGGTGCCTGTGTTCAGTTTGAGAGCAGCAGACAGAACAGGAATATGATGCCTAGCACCAGCTGTGTCTTCCCCACCTTCAATCTGAGGAAGCCTTCCTCGGAGACAGACATTGAGAACTGGGCCTCCAAACACTTCAACAAGCACACGCAAGGCCTCTTCCGGCGCAAGGTCTCCATTGCCAACATGCTGGCGTGGAGCAGCGAGTCCATCAAGAAGCCCATGATCATGACCACCGACCGCAACGTCAAGAAGGAAGCTTGTGAGATTTTCAAACTGATCCAGATGTACATGGGGGACCGGCGGTCTAAGACAGACCAGCTCAGCGTGGCTCTGGAGATCGCCACCAAAGGGTGGAGCATGCAGGGTCTCCGGGATGAACTGTACATCCAGTTGTGCCGGCAGACCACTGAGAACTTCCGCTATGAGAGTCTCGCCCGGGGCTGGGAGCTGATGTCCATCTGTCTGGCTTTCTTCCCTCCCACCCCCAAGTTTCATTCCTACTTAGAGGGATACATTTACAGGCACATGGATCCAGTGAATGACACAAAAGGTAAGAGTGACTCACCTCCTGCGTGACCTGGCTTTGCCCTTGTTGTTTTTCTAGTAGATAGCTTCTCCCCAAAATGGCAGTGCCCAAGTTAGACCAAAAAAAGACATCTTGGTGGCCAGCAACAGTTTTCCTGGCTGAGACACAGCAAAATCTAGCATGAGTATCAGCAGGAGATGACTTTGGGTGAGACCAACTCAGGCGCACACATACAGACACACTTTTGCATTCATGGTAAGCTGGAATGTGTGCTAGATTCCATGTTTCGTCAACTTATGACCCAGAGAACACTATATTCCATAATTGAGCTTAATTAGCATTTTCAGGAGGTTCTAGCCCACCATCATTGTGGGGAGAAACTTGCTTTCAGCGTAGGACATCCCTGCCCCCTGAGTTCTCACACTCTTGCTTACCATCTGGTGATAGCTTCTTACGAGCAGCCCAAACTGTTTTTTCCCCTCTTCTCTTGGAGGAGGCGCAGTTACATGCATGTTGCCTGCACTTTGGGAGGAAGGGTCCTCATCACGCCCCCAGCCTTCCATCAAGTAGATGGAAACGTGAAGCCGGGAGAATGACATGCAGGATCGGTTGGGTGGGTTTGTTCTCTGTTGCTGTGGGCTTGCCAACCAAATGGGTTGTGGTGTGGCTCGGTTCATGGAGTGGAGTTGAGTGGAATGGTCTGAATACAGAAAGGTCCTGTTTTCCTCTTTCCTGTGTCCCAGAGTCCCTTGTGTTTTGTCACTGAGTCCATATTCATCCCATGCCCCCCTCTCTCAAGAAATATCTAAGAATGCCATTCTTCTGCTTGCCTATAATATTCTTCCCTAATTTCATTTTACTTTATTTGCACGGAGGCCAAGGAAACGGTTCATTCTCCATATATGAAATTGCTTGAATTCCTATGTTTCCCCCATTTCTATTTTGTGGTCTTTCTTTAGACCAGCCTTTCCTATGGCCATGCTGGCTGGGGAATGATGGAGACCGTAGTCCTCACCACATGTCCAGTGCACCCCCTTTATGCTACTATCCCTTTCTCTGGAAGGCCCATCTTTTTTTCTAACATTCCCTAAGACTGTGGTTTCCTCAAATCCACCAGATGGTTCGCCGTTCTACAGAACATGATGTCAGACTACCTCCGTCTCCTTTGAAATACATCCCCGAGGATGTTGCTGATCGTTCTGATGTTAGTGATTGAGACACAGTCCTAGAGCAGGGTTTCTCAACCTCATCAACTTTAAGATGTATGGACTTCAACTCCCAGAACTCCCCAGCCAGCAA